ACAAAGTTAGGTTAAAATGGTGAAAATTGAGCAAATAATGTGTCAGTAGGTTGTTATGGTCATTTGAATAGCTTATAGGCCAATGACTATAGATAGTGGACTTGTGAATTTAAAAGGTATTAATTGGACTGTTTTGTATGTTAAGAGAATCAGTTTAGCTAAATTAATGCTTATGTGAAGTGTTAAGAGCTGACTAAGAGACACTGTATTGTGTAGATTGAGTACCTCTGACGTTACTCATGGGAATATACATTCTTAGGAATCCATATCTATTAGTAACCCTTAGTAGTAAGGTTAAAGGTAACTAAAGTGACCCTTTTACTTGTTTATTTGTGAAATTATTTACAAGTATTTTATATAACTATGTACATTGTGTTGTAAACTAATAGAGTAAAATTTGTGAAAGAATATGCATGCGAGTATGTGAGTATCGATTAATAAATTTGAGGTGACATGTACATTGACATGCATTGCATCTGTGAGTATACCCTATATTATGGTAGGGGATGTGACCTTACTATGAGGAGGTCCAAAGTCTTGATAATTCAGAGCATATAGCTTGACTCTACCATGATGAACCTAGGAGAATCTTGATGAACTAGAATGTAGAGTTTAACTCTATCACAAACACCTAGGATATGGAATGATTCACAAGGTTACCCTAGACTAGGGTAGGGGGTTGTGGTCCTACTCTATATAAGGCTTGGAATATTGGGTTATGTATTTTAATGATTACAAAACCAAAAGAAGATGTATTTGTTATGTAACAGATATAAAGAATCATGGGTGAAGACAAAACTTCAAGAGCTTGAAAAATCAAGAGAAGATGAAGAAGTTTAGGATAAGTAATTTAAATTCTCTTAGATTCAATATGAAAACTTAGAAGGCTTAATCATTTTTCTTATCATAAAATGAATGCATCATATGTCTCTTTTACATGCATTAAGACTCATCTAAGTATGTTAAAGCTTGCAACCAATGTCCTTCTTGCATATGATTTTTCATAGAAAAAGTTTACATAGTAAAGAAGCAGAATCACTCGTGATTCTGTAGATCACTCATGAGTTTTTACATGTTAGGCACACTGATAGCTAAATTACACATGTGTGAAGAAGTGCTTCATATATGATTAAGTGCTTGTGTTGTTTACTGCTTTAAAGCTTTGTCTCTACATGCAAAACCTCATGTGAAAGGCTTTATTATCCACATAAGTTTTAACACTTGTGCTACATTATATTATGACAAAGTGCAAAACCGTGCGTGAGACTTATGGTAGTCACGCATGATTTGTCACTTGTTGAACAACCACTCTTTGCTTTATGAGTCTTAAATCTTCTCAAGTCAAGCTAAAATTGTTCCCAAGTATGATCATTGATTCATAAATCCATATCTCTTGCTCATGTAAAATCTTGCTTGAATTATACTTTGTTTCATGCATAAAAATGCATTAGACAAGTTTATTCTTTAGTGCTTGCAATTTCACATGTGATATCATTCTTCTTCCATATGAGTTTTCATCACATTAAATGGCTTTGGCATTCTGCTGCTAGCCATTTCATGCGTGAAAAAGTAGAGGTTCCACGTGTGGTTTGTCACACAGAACTGATAATAGTTCATTATGAGCAAAACCATGCATGGAGAGCAAATGGTAACACTTATAAGTTTTTGGCACTCTGATATGTCAATATATTTATAAGTACAAAACCACATGTGGGAGGACAAGGTGTTCACACGTGAATTGTCACATTCACTATTTTGAAACTTCTTCATGCAAAATCATGTGTGATTATACTAATCACTCACAAGAAAATGCACCAACGGATAGAATCAACTGTTCTAATAGTTTGTCAACTTCTAAAAACTATATAAGTAATTCATGTTGAGCTGGAATAAGAACTATGATCATTGATTGAATAAATTATCATTTATGCATTTAAAGAGCTTTTCAAACCATGGTTTTACTCATTGCATTCATTCATTATTCTTGAAAAGAATTGTAAAAGCTCTCAAGATTTATAAGCTTTCATTTGTATTCTCATCTACTCTTTAAGAGAGTGTCTTGTAAAGAGCTTTTTATTATCCTCTCAGATGTACTCATTTACAAGTCAAAATTTTAGTTTAATACATAGTTCACTTCATATTATAATAAAAATAACTACCCACCCAAAATAAGGTTCTCCCGGTTTACCTTAAATCTTTGAGAGTCAAAGGTTTACCTCTCAATATAATAGCTTTCCAAGCTTGAATTCCCAGCCAAAATAGGTGTCCAAAAACTCAATCTATAATTTACCAAGTTAACTTTCATTAACATTGCCAATCTCACACATTCAACTCTAATCTTCCCTTTCTAGATTACCCAATGCTCACATTGCTTACATTTGGGCCTACCCATTAGGTTTATTATCTATCTTTCACATTATATAGCGTCATTGAATACCCACATTGCCATTAATACCTCAACAACCATAATAATGATAGATTTAATGTCCATTTTCAGACATTAATAGAACTCACCATCCAATAACCACCACAATCATTAATACTAGGTTTAAATACTCTAAACAATTCTCATTAATACCATTTGAATCAATGGATTCAGACCCATAACCTATAGGACCGAAATCATCATCCTCATTCAAACCCTAACTCAAATCCTTGAGAAAATAGAAGAGAAAAGGAGAAAAAGGGTTTGGGAATCTTACCTTGGATGATTTGAAGCTTCAAACCTTCTTAAATACTCCCCTAAATTATGCCCTAATAGAGCAAATATGAGTTCCTCCATATCCCCACACACCATGGTATGTGGAACAAAGGTTTTGCAACTTGTTTTTCTCCACTTTTTGGCCCCCATGTGACCCAATTTCACTTTGAACCTAAATTATACCTGAAATTCTAACTAAAAACACTTATTATTCTCCTCTGACCATACACCACACTAACTTTCTTAATTATCCTAATTAATCTTATTAAATCAGGGAATTAGAAATCGAGATGTTACATGTTATAATTATTATTGATGCATATATTACAAGATTATGATATGATAAGTGAGATCCCATGCTTCAATTGCTTGTTATTGTCATATTTATATATGCTTGAATTAAATTGCTTTATACTTAGACTATATAATCTCACTCCTATTTATTACTACTCATTGTAAAGTCTCTAGTTATTTTAATGTGTAATTGAATATTTATCTTATCAACATTAAGGGTTTATACATGTTAGATTATATTTCACTTGCGTGTAACTCTGTTTGTAAACTTGGGCACTTTTGTTGGTGGCCCTCATATGTTTTTAAGTTGAGGTCGAACGTACAAGTGTGTGTCTAAATTTTGATTTGTTAACTATGATAGCTTACAAGGTTATGCATGCATGCTATTATTTAGAAATACCATGCTTGCTTATGTGCGTAGTTCATGCTTGATGAGTTGATTAAGGCTAATGGCTTGATTTATCAGGCACTTGGTTGAGGAAGTGGTGCACTTTTAGTCCCAGGTGTCTAAAAGCCCCATATGATACTAAATGATGGTAAGACTAGTGCCATTAGTTAGTTTTCTTAATTATCTTTGTGTAAGTGCTTGGATCACCTTAATCAATGGTTCGAGCTAAAAGGTAGATGTTCCAGAATTTGGAGTCCAAGAATTGTCCTATATGTTGCTATTTTGGCTTGCTGGCTATGGCGAAACATGTCATTAGCCACAATGGATGACAAAATGTGTGTTGGTTGCAGCAGACAAAGCGTTTGGCCACAGGGATTGGTCTCTGTACCATGAGCCATAGCGGATGCCCTCTTGGCCGAGGTGGATGGCTCTTTTTTTATGAAAATGATCTTTTTAACCTTAGTTGACTAGTTTTTAATGCTCAACAATTTTTGGCTCTATAATTATCTTGACACTCGTTAAGTGTTCAAAAGAAAATCAAAAAGTTATAAAAATTGTAATGGAAACAATAATGAAAGGAAGATTGAACTTAAAAAAGAAAGAACGAACATAAAATTTGTTTTATAAATATGAAATATATTTTTAAAATATTCAAATAAAACATAATAAAATTAGTTATTATTCAATAATAACTCTATTAATATGACATTGTTTGTCATTTACAGTTTGAGAAACCATGTTTGATCATAATAATGGACATTATTATATATTTAGTTATTGCGTTCCCACTGAGCCTTTCAAGTGGTATAATTTTTAGAAAAGAACTTATAAAATCTCTCCCCTATTGTAATTTGCGTCGGATGGTTCCTATATAATTGCAGTAACTATCCAACCTCCTTTTTTAGTTTTATAGTAATTTTTAAAATTATTATAAGGCTTTATAATAAAGTGGGTATGAATCCACAGTAAAAACAAAAGGAGTGATGAATAGAACCAATACTAAAAAAATATTTTTTAAATTACAATATAGAACATTCTTTAAAGTTTTACTTGATTTAAAACGTAAGATATTGCATAATTTTTATAATTATATATATAAGTGTGGTTTAAAATTTGTAAATAATTTTCTCTACATATCTCCTTTTCATTTTATCTATATTAAAAATTTTAATTTTCTACTTATTTTTAGAATTGAACTCATTAAAAAATTTTCTCCTCTCTATTTTTATATTACAATCGAAAGTTGATATTTCATACATAAGTATAAAATCTAATTATACTTGTCTTTTCTGTTATTTATATATAATTACACATGCACCTTATAAGAAGAGGAAGAATAGAAAAGGCATTTATTATCAAAAAAAAAAAAAAAGAAAAGAAAAGAAAAGGCATTGAGGTTTTGAGGAGCATGGGGTGAAAGGGACCACAAAACGAATGCACGTGGAATGGGGCGTGAATGGCATGGTGTTGCGAGGTTTAGTCATTTTGAAATAAGCAAGTGTCGTGACTGTGTGGGGTCCCCGTCGAATGTCACCCGCATTCCGGCAGCCGCTCGCTGGTTCCCTCCAGCGGTGCCCAATGCCTCCTTCTTCCTTTCACTTTCACTTTTCCCATCCCTCCCCATTCTGTCATGTTCCTCTCCCTTCAGCCTCAAGACCCCACTCCTTTAAATTCCTATCACTTTAACCTCCTCTTAAATTCATCCCCATCACAGTTCCTTTTCTTTTCTTTTCTTTTCTTTTCTGTTTTTTTGACCTCAATCACAGTTCCTTCCTTTTTTTTTTGACCTCAACATTTCCAGTTTCCTTCCTTCAATCCTTAATAATAAAAATTAGTCGTGAGATAAATGGTGACTTAAAAAAAGTCTACTTATTTAAATTTGATTTGTGTATGTCTTTCAGTTTTTTTTTAAATATTTTTTTTTTATCGACATTTGGCAGACCACATTATGCCTAAAACAAAAAGGATAAAGGGGGGAAAAGCCCTAGCGAGAAGAAGCTTTTGTACACTTCACGGAGTAATCAATTCTGCGACTTCAGTCTTCTAGTACAGGCATTGCCCCTTTTCCCGACAGACGCGGATACCTACACCTTCCGGTCATACGCAGTGTGTTACGCAGAAACGAAGCACAACCAAATGGTTCCGACAGGGTTAGATCTGTGTGTGATACCATATTCTGCCTCTGGCTATGTTTGATTTGACAAATCCTGCGTCTTCAACTCACTGAAGTAGCAGTATTAGTGGAAATGAATAGTAGTAATGCAAGTGGTGGAGGTGGGACAGCTACGGGGATGATGGGGATCACTAGGTCACCGTTCACGCTCTCTCAGTGGCAGGAACTGGAGCACCAGGCGTTGATTTTCAAGTACTTGGTGGCGGGTCTTCCCGTGCCTCCCGATCTTGTCCTTCCCATTCAGAAGAGCTTCGAGTCCATTTCTCAAAGGTTCTTTCACCCTCCCACCAGTGAGTTCCTGAATCCCGTGCCCTTTTCTCCCCCTTAAAGCTTCCGGATTTTTGGATTGACTTTCTGGGTTTCTATCATTGCAAATGAGTAGCTCGTTTGTTTTGGTTTTGTTAACGCATTCTCATGTTTCTTGTTTGAGATCAAAGTGTTCCGCTTTTTATTCTTCTCATGAATCATTCATTGCCAACCGTGCATTCTTTAGAACACTCCTTTTAAAAGGAAATAATCTGTGTAGTTTGGTAACTGCAATATACCATGAGGATGCTCTTAATGTTCAAGTGACAGCGATGGATATCTTCATTCCTAAAAAGACTGCTTATTGGATACGCCCTTTTATTAAAGACGTACTCTTGATTTTACAGAAGAGGTACTTGCGGTTTAAGCCTTGCTACTTGACAGACTGGGTATTACTGATTTGGTCTAGCTTCGGTTATGGGGCAACTTATTATATCTTATCCCAGTATCTGTCTGGTGGCCAAATGAATTCAGTTAGTCATCCTTTCGTTTTTTCATTTTTTAAATTTTATAATTGTAGGGGATTCGTCATTTTTGCAACTAAGCATTCACATTCCTTTCCAAATTCAAGGGTTTTTTCCCCTTAAGCGATATTAGCTAAGGAAAACGCAGATGCTTAAACGTGTTGATTATTTGTCTCCCTTCGATTAAGCTTTTTCTTTACTACTAAATCTGCCAAGAAAGTACTATATAATTTAAACTGCTGGGGGTCGGTGTGGAAGTGGAAACTCCGTCCTGCTGAGTAAGAAAGAAGTATAAAATTAATGGTGGTATACTCAACGCATTGATGGAATCTTTCAATTTTGTAGTTATGCAATTGCATGTTGTCGTTATTCCTGCTAATGTTGCATCTTCTTCATTGCATCCTGTGGGTCTAGACATTGGTGATAAAGAATGAGTTAACTGTTTATGTTATTTGGCAGTGAGTTATTGTTCCTTTTATGGGAAGAAGGTGGACCCGGAGCCAGGACGGTGCAGGAGGACTGATGGGAAAAAGTGGAGGTGCTCCAAGGAAGCATACCCAGACTCAAAATACTGTGAGCGCCACATGCACCGTGGCCGCAACCGTTCAAGAAAGCCTGTGGAATCTCATACCATGATACAGTCATCATCCACTGTGACATCACTGACTGTCACAGGTGGCAGTAGTAGAAATGAAAACTCCCAGAACCTTTCCACAAATGCCTTTACTAATCCCCAAGGTACTGGTTCTGGAACCTACCAGACTCAGTATAATCTGGATTCCATTCCCTATGGGATCCCAAGCAGAGAATACAGGTATAGACTTTGTTACTACTGCTCTCTTCTTAAAAGTAAATTTGAGCTAGACTATGTGGACATGAAAATACATAATTGAGTTTGTATGTTTTGGAAACTTTGTTACTCCTTCTGGTCCTTGAGTTTCTTTGTTGTCTGAATCTGATGCATGACTTTGAATATGACGTTATAATTATTTTTTTGAGTTGTTGATTCTGATATCCTTAGGTTATTCTGGTTTGGGCCCATATTATTGACATTACGTCGCCTGAGCAAATTTGTAACCATGACCGTAATGTGATTTGAGCATTGGATATGTCAGAGCAGAAACTTTTTCATTTTCTTTTCCTTATAAGGAGTGCTCTGGGCTCTATGTTTTCATATAGTTTCAATTCTTTTACAGTTTCTCAGACGAGTGGGGGGTTCTAGTTGTCATTTATTTCTGTTGGGTTCTTTATTTATTTATTTATTTATTTGTTAGTTTGCTTGCTTTCTTGCTTCTCTACTTTGGTGTAGAGATCTAAAAAGCATTAAAAATAGTTGCTACCATGCTTTTCACTGCTGAATTATCTACCTCAAGATTTTCTTTTCCAGCCAAAGAAAATTCTGTGGCCGTTATCTACCTGGCTTTGCTTCATCTTTCAGCATAGAACTTTCTTTTTGACGTTGAAGAGGAAAGCTATTCTCTTTTAACATTTCCTGGAACTGTTATGTGTTATCTTTTCTGGTGTTGGGTGATGCCCGTGCGTACAGATTAAGTAGAAATTCTGGAAAGCGTCGTGAGTAAAACTTGTCCTCTTTTTGTTGTTCTTTTGATAAAATTTTGAGAGAATTGTGAGCCTTTATTTACTTTCGATGGCATTGATCTTGTGCATAATGCTTCCATCCCATCAATCTTAAACATGCTTGATAGAATATTTTATCAAGTTGAAAATGCGTGTGCTTAGTTTTCATTGGAAAAAGAATTGATGCTTTGAATTTAATTTTACCTGTCTTCACACTGAATGAAGTCAGAGATATCATTATTTCACTTCTAGAGGTTCCAACTTCCGATGTTTTCTAGCTCAATCACTATCAGTTAATGGTGTTACATGATTCTGTTATCTTTCAATATGAATTACGTCAAATTAAATGCGGTAATTTTATCAAATGATCTTATTCTTGTTTATTTAAGTGTCTGCTGCTACCTTCTTTTATATTTATACTACACATAGTTCTTCAAACTAAAACGATTCTTTTTCTTGAGAACCCAGAGTATCGTTTCACTATGTATGTCACTACATGTGCTGGAACTCTTTTCTATTTCAATTCTATTAGGGATGAAATACTCTGCAGTTACCTTCATAACTTGTAACAAATTAAGCTGTCATCTAATATATTTCTCCACGCTTTCTTCAATTACTGTTTTTTTCAAAGGCTGTTACTTGCACTTCTTTTTAACTTATTCTATAATCTATATGCCTCCTTGGGCTATGATGAAATTAAATTTTTGGACGATTATGATTACATGGTAGAATAGTTTAATCCATGAACCGTGGGCAATTTGATGTGAAATAATTAGGTATCTTCGAGGGCTTAAATCTGAGGTTGGCGAGCATAGTTTTATTTCTGAAGCTTCGGGAAGTAACAGGTGTCTCCAGATGGAATCACCAATGGAAAACACATGGCCTTTGATGACAACCAGAGTTGCCTCAAATGCTACCTCAAAATCAAACAACAGCACTATGCAGCAGAGTGATTATCCTCAGCACTCATTTCTGTCCGGTGGGTATGCGTCTGGGGAGCCTGTGAAGCTGGGGGGTAGCCAGTCTCTTCGACCTTTATTTGATGAATGGCCTAGAAGCAGGGAATCATGGTCTGGACTGGAGGATGAGAGATCCAAGGAGGTAGCTTTTCTACAACACAACTCTCAATATCAATCCCTATGTCCTCTTCCGACTTCTCTGCAGCTAGCTCTCAATCCCCAAATGGTGAGATTTAGATAAGGCAAAGTTTCCTTATGTAAGCATCAGTCAACTGAATCCTGTAATGATATTCTTGCAGATTAGCATGGGAACAGCTGATCAGGTTCAGTTTTTCGATGCTGTGTTATGAAACCACCAATTAACCGGGCTGAGATTTGTCTTGTGCTCGAAAGGGTTCCATTTTGTTGCATTTTTAATTATCACTGCCCCTATTCTATTATATAGGGGGGCGTAAATCTTATGGGTACTTATGGGAGAACCCTCCAACATTCTTCCAACATTTTTAATTATCACTGCCCCTATTCTATTATATAGGGGGGCGTAAATCTTATGGGTACTTATGGAGAACCCTCCAACATTCTTCGGTCTGTATTATGTAGTGAATGAGCAGCGGTATTACGACATGATCTAAGGGATGCTGAATAAAGTTGCTTGTATTGTTTTGGCATGGTTGCATCTCTGGTAACTTTGACCGGCCTATGGTTGTGAAGCACGATATTTTTTGGCTGAAATATCTCCTTCAGTATGAGACAAGTTGGGTGTTATATTAGGCTAAATCAAATTAAAACTACCTTTGCAAGCCGTTTGACACATACGGATTATAAGGTTTGGAAAAAAATGAAAAATTGAAGCTCAACTTCTAGGTTGGTTATGGTAAGGTCGGAGAGTTCTTTGCTTTTCCTATGTATCTCATTCTAATTAGTTGAAGGACGTCAATGAAGTTGATCGGAGAAACTGTGATTGAACAAGACCCATGAATATTTTACTTCCTTTGAATTCAAACCAGATAATTTCATTTTTTGACTGGTTTTCCCGGTGTATGGCTTTTATGGTTAACAATCAATGTAATCTGCAACATTATTGGTGTGGTAATGATTTTTTTTGGCCAAAATTAGTTATTTTATTAATGGGAAAAAAGTCAGAATACAAACATCAATAGCACCAAGAAAGAAAAAATTGCAACCCAAGTTATTGGTATGGTAAATCTTGCTTTAAACAAAAGAAAAGAACAACTCACCCTATATCATACATGTTTTCCACTGTAGCAGCCTTTAACTGTGCTTGTTGCTTATTCTCCTTCAGAATTGCAACCAGAGGGGATGAGGGTAAAGGCACCCAATTTATTGGACACATCCCCTCTGTGCTAGTCACTGCTACGCAGTCGACAACTTTATTCACTGATCTTAGTATCAATACGACATTCGCATTCCGAATCCCAGGCTTCAAGCACATCTTCCACCACCACTTGACTCTTCCACTCACACTTCTATGATGAGCTAACAGATGTTCTTCTATATAATATTTCACTGTGAGTTTCAATTATCACCTGGTCATACCTGCGCAATTTCACCAAGTCAATGGCCTTTCTTAGTGCAAGAGCTTCAAACATTAAAGTAGATGAAGACCTCATTTGTCCAGCATACCCCTCCATCAATCTACCGTCATGGTCCCTGCATACAATCCCAATTCCAGACTTACCCATATTCTTTTGATAAGATCCAGCAATGTTGATTTTGATGGTTTTCTTCTCAGGCTTTTCCCATCTCCTCACCTTCTCACTTCCATCTATCTTCTTGAACGACCCTCTATCCTTCCATAATTCATCATCAAAGCAGACTTCATCTTGTATAGTTTTCTTCTCATATGCAACATTGCCTTGGATACCATATTGCATCTACTTTTCCAGATATACCAACACAACAATGCTATCACTGCCTTATGATACTCTTCTATCCTATTACTTCCATCTATCAAACCCATACAACATCTGTCAAAACTATTAACACTCTCTTGATATATTTTGAGAGCTAGTGGACCCAAGCTATATTATTCTTGCCCATTCACATAATAACAAACAATGTTCTACTATTTCTTCACACTTTCACATATCACACAGTTGGGTTCTCACAGCATTTCCTCCTGAAGAGAGCTTCTTTGGGTTCGAACCCCTCATTCACTACTCTCCACATAAAGTGTTGTATCTTTGGAGGCACCTTTAATTCCCATATAATCTTCCACATCTCCTCAGAAACCCTATCAGATGATTTAAGTCTTTCACTGATTAGCCTATCTCTACTATCTTTCATCACAGCGTACCCAATCCTACTCCTTCTTCACTTCAGCTTATCCTCCCACTCATTACTGATACAGGAATTTGCAAGATCTTTTTCATTTCTCCGTGATCAAGAATTCATATAAACTCATCTAATACCTAATAACTTCAGACACCTTTTCCCTATCAACATCGTTACCTTCAACTAATTTTTCTAGGTCTAAGACAAGCACCCATTTCTTATTTCATTGCTCGGTATCTTAGAAGACTCGTGAGTATTATCACCACTTACCCAAACTAATCCGGACCTTGCTATGTGGGATCATTCTTACTAACGACAGCTTCACAGATACCTCAAAGATGCCTTTAACATTTTTTATTTAATGCAACTGCATATCTTAAAACTTGAACTTGAGACCCTAAAATATGATAATTCTACTTCCTCAACTAGTCAAATCAATTACTCCTCAATTTCCATATCTTCACTCCTACTCCACTAACCACCCTCTAGATGAAATATAGCTTTGAAAAATTTCTCCCATCAAGAATACTCAACCAACCTCATGATGCTCTCCCTCCCTTCTTAGCTTCAAGAAAATCTGATTTAGGAAAATATAATCCTTTAAAATCCTCACCCATAATGCGTTGGATTTTGAAAATTTGGGGAATGAATATGAGGAGCCACGATAATCTTAATATTATCAAAGGTTTCAATGAACTAAGACAAGATAAAAATGAACAAGGGTAGTGAAAAAATAGGAACGAAAGTGAGTTGTAAGAGTTAAAGCTTCTTGCATTTGTGTGATTCTTTTATGTTAGCTATGTATTGATGAAGAGCTCTTATGATAGTTGTATATTGCCCTTGGTTTAGGTTTTGTAAGCTAAGGCTTAAGGTGACCATGTATTTCTTTTAGAATTTGAATTCGCATGATTTTTGCACATGATGAGTCATTGGTGGGATTTACAAAAATTTCAGTCATAATAAGTTGACTAAAATCTAAAATTAATTCGATTAATTTTTTATTGCTAGCCTAAAAGGAAAACAATCCTTTGTCATGATAATGATTATTCCAATCAACATGTTTCCTCCATAATGAGGTGAATTAATGTTTATTAGATTTCTTTTTTACATAGAGACCTCCCTTCACTATAAATAATAACCAGAGGCTGGAGGTGGGAGTATCCTAGATCGAACAGTTTTCTAGTTGACTCTTCGTCTCCCTTCTTTCTCTTTGGTGCATTTGCTGGGCACTATAGTTTAGACTCTAGTAGTCTAAACTCATGTGAGTGGTTGAATAGGTTCTACTACCCCTAGATTTAATAAAACTCTAACCTAATTTATTTATTCAATTTATTATTTATTTAATAATCATTTAATAACATTAGAGCCGTGTCGCTCCTACGACTGAAGTTGTGGGTAATACTAGTAAAATTTAAATTTTTTTTATTTTTTATTTTATTAGTCCTTTTCTTTTATACTACTTGAACATGTATCATGCATTACTTTCCTACCCCAACCATTTATTGATCAAGGGGTTTCCTTACCTTGATTTAGGACCTGGTTAGCTTCTTAGCATGCTTACTTTCTACTACATTTAATATTGAATGTGTTCATATTATGTGTGTTGTTTTCTGGCTTTCATTTTTATTTCTAGAATTTATTTATTTTTTTGTTTATTTTCTAGGTTTTTATTTTGATTCTAGATCTCTACATATTGAGTTTTATGCCTTTCTAGGCTTTCCCTTCTCCCTTAAGATGTTCTTGTGAGTTAAAAACAACTTTTAGACACATCTAAAACCTCTATTAAAGCTACTGTTGTGAACATACAGAGGAGGATTTTTTTTTCTCAAAATTTTGGGTATTTGAAATTTGGGATTTTAGCTTGCAAAATTGGTATGATTGTGTAAAGGGTGATGAGACGGTTCCAATGAGATGGGAATCACATCAAATAGAGGAGTTATGGCTAAAAGATTGTGACGAGTTTTAGGGTCTCGCTAAGTTCGAACTGGGTTAGACAACCCGCCTCAAGGTCAAGGATAACCTCGACGAGGTGTCATTTTAACCCTAGTCAAAATGACACATCATTTTAAACCACAGAGGCATGCAGTGCATCAATTCGAGTGACACCTGACCTGAGCAGGTTAAATGGTTGACTCGGTTGACCTGTCGACCCGAGCCGGGGTGGTCGACCCAACTCGATCCAGCCTAAAAAATTAATAATATATACATTTGCTTTGCTTACTTGGTCAATGCATGCGGGGCACATGCTTACCCTTTAGTTAAAGTAAACATGTGGTTGGACTTGTGACAGTAAGAGGAATCCAATGGCGAGGCACATGTGGCAAATTTAGCCTTTGTGGTGGCGCGTTGATAAGTTACATTTATTCCACACTTTTCCTTGTTACTATTGACCAAAAATCATGTTATATTTATTCAAATTGCACACTTGTTGCATTAATTGTGAAAAATTGTCTAAGTGTAGGATTTTGTGCATTAAGGACATTTTGGTCATAAAATTAGACTTTTCAGAAAATGTTTGAAAATATTTGTCAAGATGAATTTTTAGTCTAAAAGAATAATGATTTACTTATATTTTTCAAATTCATCTTAGATTGAGAATAATTAATTTCACAATTTGACTGTTTTGGAAAGTTAAAGTTTTAGGTTGACTTCTTTTCTTGTACTTGGGCTAGGTCATTTTTGTGTATGTGTGGCTTATAATTTTTGGGCTATTTGGCACACCCCTTTACCCCTTTTTGATGTCATAATCATTTTTTATTATTTAATTTCATTATGACATATATTTGAAAATTAATTTTAATTGAAAATGCAATTATTATCCATATGCTTTGAACTTTGATCTTGTGTGTCATATTTATTTGTGTAGGTTTGTACCCCTTGGATTTGGCATATGAGGATCACTGGATTGGAATAATAGATGAGTCAAGAGGTGAAATACTTGA